GGATGCAACCTGCCTAAACAGGTGGTTTTCAGGGTCTTCGGACCTTTCACCACTTCAGGACCATTCAGGATTTTCAGACTGCCAAAAACTCTCACCTCAGAATTTTCATTCCTGAATTTTCAGCTACCCGATAACCGCTTGTGTGAGAAGCGTAGAAGGGGCGAAGACACGCCGGTGGGAGACAGTCCCCCCGTCACAACTCCAGCTAAACGCACAAGTAAGAGGACCGCGGTACGACCCCTTCGCCTGACTGAGCGTCTACGAGCACGCAACACACAAATAAAGACCGCATATGTACGGATGACGAGGAAAACTTTGACTGGCATGAAGGCGACGTTGAAGGATATACATTTCGAGAGACTGCAATTTCTGAATACCGGGCGAAGGGAGTTGATAAATTTTAATCATGATGAGATCAAGGCTATCTGTGGGCGTGACGGTGTGGCCTACAAGACGAAGTTGCAAGCTATCTTTGATCTTGCCGATCGACGAGCGGAGATCAAGTTCGGCCTGCTGACCCCAGAAGACTACGTTATCAATCTCGCTTCTGAATTCGAGGAGCAAACGAATGAAGATAACGTGAACTGAACTCCGTTTAGTCTCGAAGAGATATGTGAGTTGTGTGAAGTTTTGGTTAGCTATCGTGGTAAGTATCCTTCGGTGAATAACGAAGTGGAAACTTTGTATAGAATACGAGTACTGCACCTGGTGTTGTCTGGGATTATTAGATGGTTGGAGAAGTGTGTCCTGGCTTGGTTAGACATATTCAGTATATACGGTTTGTAATTTTTGAATCTGCCAAGCTGTGTTTACGTTGTTATATCACCGATATGTAAGTCGCAGTACGTGGGTCAGACGGGAAGGTCCCCGGATGTTAGATTGAGGAAACATAGTTCGGTCTCCAACCGAAGAGCGAAGAAAACTCACTTGTACCGATGGTGGGACTCTTTCGGGTTTGAGCCGTATGTGTTGCTACCGGTAGCGCCTGGGATTCTGGAGGAATTATGACCCTGGAGAAAGTATATATCAATCATTGGTCACCATTCCTTAATAATGCTGGTAAGCTGAAACATGGTAAGAAGAAGGTCAGGAAAGGGAAGAATGAACGGAAACGGAATAGAGGAGTAGCAAGTGTGAACGGAAGAACAACTGAAGGTGTACGACCTATACGGGTGACATGCTGTGATAGTGAACCTTGGACCGTGAGTGTTTTCGGTAGTTTGTGTGAAAAAGACAGAATTGGAACCCGTGCCTTTGCTTTGCAATCTAGCGGCAGAGGTATTTGGTGCGATTCAAAAGACCTTTGGAAAATCTGATGTGAGAATCGATGGACAACCGTCTCAACTGAAGAACTGTAAATCTCGGATCGAAAGTGGTGAAAGTATAGAGATATCCTACTTGCGTAAGTGGCAACCAAGGCACAATTGTTATAAACCATTCTTGGTTTCTTTGTTGAAGAATCCGCGAAGAATCGATAAATTGAGGCGTTGGGACTTAGCTTCCTTGGATGTGTTGTTTAGTGCGATAAAAAATTTCGATCGAAAAACCACTCGATCTTACCTACGACGAATCATCTCGCGGACAGTTCGTGAACAGTTTGGATTTAACTTCTCGGTTGCTTCGGTTTTCCGTTTGCTATTCGACGATCGTGTGAGATTGAATGAAGTACGAAGATTGGTGAATGATAAGCTGGGTAAGCCAACCCTTCCACCGTGTGTGATACACAGAGCACGAGCTAAGGTCCGAATCGTTTGGATTAATAACCCAAGCGTTGCAGACTTATTACACAATCAACGCAAATTTGCACGCGCTGACGTGGTAACCTGTCCCTGTACAGGTCTTCCTTACCCACGGGTAAGAGGTCACATGCGATGCCGATTGCATGAGGTAGAAGGTGTTCCGGAATTGATGTGGAATGCGGGGAACATACCGAAGGCTCAACGATCTGATCGATTGACCATGCTCGATGAGGAGATTTGTAAAGGCTTTCAGTCTTGGGTGAACATCAAGACCCAGAGAGTTTCCTGCTGTAAAGTTGAATAAGAGAAGTGTATGCAGAAGGTGGTGGAAAGTGAGTCGGCCTATCTTGGTAAGGACAAAGTTTCGGAGATCAGGGAACAATTCAAGAGTTTGGTGCTCACCCCCCTGGATCGTAACCCTGGTGAGACGTTAGTGATTTGTCCAGTTCTATTTTATGAGGGGATGCAGGATCTATTTCTTCGTAATGAAGGATATGTGCCTTGTGAGAGGGATGCGGCTGAAGTTATGAAGGAAATGAAGCTACAGATTAAGAAGTGGGGGTTGCAGATGTTCTCCAAATGGGACAATAATAGAAGCATCGGGTACGCATACGCTATGCCGAAACACAAAGACTTGGAGCGTTATCGGTCGATATGCCCGGCATACTCTGAACCAACGGTGAGGACTTGTTGGGCGGCTGCTAAGGCATTGAACCACCTTGTATACACTCTCCCGCAAGAGTGGCATTACAACTTGAAGGATGTCACACGTTGACCGACAGACTGAATGAGATCAATAAGAGAGCCATGAAAATGAACAGTCAACCGACAATTATCACAAGATCTTATGATATCAAGGATATGTTCAGTCGGTTACCACATGACGACATCATCCTCGCAGTTGAATGGCTGATTGAGTTCCACAAGAAGAAGGGAAGGGAGTTTGTACGCGTGAATACACGAGGAAGAGGGGCGACTTTTGGTTTCACAACTGGCTTTGACCATTGGAGGTTAATTCGTTTTGATGAGCTTTTGGCTTTCGTACACTTTGAACTGGAGCATACGTACACTTTTGCATTGGACGTCTTGCTACAGCAAACCGTGGGAATTCCTATGGGAAAAAGTATAAGCCCACCATTAGCTTGTATTATGTATGCCCATGCAGAGTTCAATTTTTTGATAGGTTTGGGACCCCTGCGGCGTTGGGTAGCAGGGATTCGACTAATTGATGACGTAAGCTTGTTCGTTTTGGACTCTGGGCTTGACAAAGAAACCGCACAGAGAATCTGGCATGATTTCGAAAATTGTTACCCCGACAATCTCACTTTGAAGGGTACTTACGCTGACCAAGGAAGGTGGGACTTCCTGGGATGTGAGTTGCGTAATGATGACAGGACGTCAACAGTATACTGTGTTCAGATGCTAAAGAATGAGAAGAAGATCTGGGAGGACGAGGTGCTGAAGTTCAAAAACGGACAATCCTTCCGATCATGGGGAAGTAAGGCACAAAAGAGTGTTGTCATTGCGAGCCGGTTGCACAAAATTGAGCGTAATACTTCGGCAAGGGACGAAATCCTAAGCCGGGTTATTACGATGGCACGTGAATTGAGGATCATGAGTTTCTCGAAGGATTTTGTCATTTGGGTTTTGAAGCGATTTGCTAGAGGAAGAGATGAACCATGGGGTTTTACAGTCTGGTTGATGAACAGATATCGTTTGTAAATAGGGTTCGTGAGTATATTCAACAGTGTTTAACTAGATAACTTGCAACTTACAGAGAGTCGGCAATTCATTAGGCGTAAGGATTGTTGCTCGGTTTCTTGTATTTGTACCTCCATAACTTTTGAATATAGGAAGTGCGATTGTACAGAGAGTGACAGGGTATGGAACCTGCCACAGTGATTTTACCCCAGCATCTGTGTTTGGTATGATTTGTGGAGACAAACGGGTTTTCATTCGGTACAGCGAGTATAACTATGAATCTATTTCGTTCGATGTTTTGTAGTGACAGGGTTTGTTTCTAAAGCATGTATTTCTAAATTTGTTTGTGTGGGTTTCAAACCAGGTACCTGTAATTTGAGATTTACCCTTTTGCGGTATGTTTTTCATACTTCAGATTCGAATAAGTGACCTGTGTTGCAGGACACAGACGTTGAAATAGATATGTTTCTTTGGTATTAGTAAGTCTCGAACAGAGTACCTGTACGATAGGATTTCATAGTGTTTTATCGTTTGTGAGCCTATAGATGAGGAACTCGAAGAGGGCACTTTTTCTGCGTAGTGCCTAGCGTGAGAGTTGGTCGTCGATGAAGGGTGTGGATGGGCCGGTTGGACCAACTGGTATGAGTTTGCCGAAAAGATACCAGTGGTACTGAGGGGACCTGGCGGTCCTCTCTACGATAAAAGCAATGATTGACCTGTCGTATTCCTCTCTTACGGGACCTACGGGCGTAGTCGGCATTTTCGGGATGTCGGAAACGACGGAGGTGGGTTAGTGGTGGAGCGCTTTGCGCATGGTGTGATTGGAGGGAGAAACCCCCTGAGGAGGATCACCTGGCGGTGATTGAAACCGGTCGGGGAGCCACTTTCTCGGAATTGACGATATTTCTCAATCAATTGCTCACGACTACTTGTTGTTGCATGTGTATCATGTGATGATTGAAGTCTTGGATTTTATCCTTCCGTATCAAAAACCTACACAAGGATGACACAAATAAATCAAGAAAGAAAAAAAAAGAAAAAAAAAAAAGCTACAGCGTGATAATTTTTGTCTTTTATGGATTTGGGAATAGGTGGGACGTTACTCTGACACTTTCCTCGTGAGGGATTTGCGGATAGTCACCTTAGTTCACGAGGGATCAGATGTGATGAGAGGGAACGAATCATTGGCAAGAACGGGTCTCGGTACAGAGAAGATTAGCACAGCCCT